GGCTGAGTCATCTAAAATCAATCATTTTGAGATCATACATCAAGGCTGCTGAACTATCAATGAATTACATGCCTATGTCATTTTTAACTTACTGCCAGCTTATAAACCACTCCCTTTGCATTTTTACCAAGAGGAAATAAATTAGAAAAATATTTTTTTTACAGAGCAGACAGGTGTTGGAACTTCTCCCATGGCAAATTTCAAGGAATGTGGTACTCTCTTCAACACCTTACCATCTTTTGTCAGTGTTGAAATGCTCAGCTTTTGGCAAGCTTAGCTCCTGTTACCCTTATGCAGAGACGAGAATTTCAGCCTGATCTTAGCTCAGAGCTTTTCTATTCTACTTTTCCTTTTTTCACATCAATTTTTGTTTCAGTTCATAATGAAGCCAGTTTTTAAAAAATGCAAGAGTACTGCAGCTTGAAGCAAAACAAAATGGTATAAATCTGCAAGTGTCAAGGAAATGCTCACTAACATCTTAAAATGTCTGCTGCTTTGAAATGCCACACACAAAACAGGAAATTCCACTTTGGCTCTACTACTGTAAGAAAACCACTCTAGCTTCCTGTTAACAGAAAGACATGTTTCATATAAATGAAGTAAGCCCAGGCCCTCGTTACAGTTGGTTACTTTTGTATGATTGAACAAGCAAAAGACCAAAAAAAAGCCCAAACCCCAACCACAAAACAAGGAGTTCCTCACATAGAATTATGCTTACATGGACTCCTTTGCTACTTGAACAGTTAAAAAAAACCCCAAATTTTCATATTAAATCTGTAATAGACCTGTAAGCTTACAGGTTGACACAATAGGCGCAGCATGCCTATAGTTTTTCCAAGTTAGAAATAATTTTAAATGCTGAATATCTAGAGAGTTTTAAATCAAATACCACACTTTTTCTTCTCCTCCCTCTTTTGCTGTCTCAAAACAGCCTTTTCTCTCCATTCAAGGGCTTCCTCCAAAATTAAGATTATTTGCAAAAAAAGAAAAGTAGCATATTATTTATTCCTATTTATTCCTTTTCCAGGTAAAACATTGATTAAATCATCAGAACTAGTTGCAGAAATGATTCATAATTCCTACATGAAATCTCTCCCATCATAAGAGAAAAGGAAAGGAAATATGATCCCACTTCATTCTGGTAGCTCCTGAGATCTACACCACCAAAAGAGAGAGATTCAATTTCCAAAAAAGCTACCAGGGATAGGCTGCAGAAACAATTGCAATTATATATTCTTATCAGTAATTCAAAACTTTGCATTGCTGGACTTAATGCACCAATATCAAAAGGCTTTACTGACAGAGAAATGATTGTGCATGTGTACACATCCACACACACATACTTTCTCCCGGAAAAGTACAAAAAACAAGTCCTGTGAGGCAGATGGTTAAAGAATTCTGGACATTCACATACTAGGGATGCACAGCTCCCCACACTATGAGTCAATAGTGCAGGTCTTCCAAATCCAGCCTGACAAATACCAATTACTCCAAGCATCACTGAGCAAAGCACGGAGTAGTCCAAATTTCTCTTGCTGAGGTGGAGCCCCGCTGCTTCCACTGGCTGTAGCTGTCAGCTTGTGCACGCTTCTATCTCCGATTGTGCCTTTCACGCTGCTGCGCAGCCCCTTGTGATGAATCCAACAATAGGTGGAAACTGTCATAATAATTAGCAATGCTAGAAAATTAATCCTGTTTTACTGCAATTTTCACTTCACGTTTTCCATGCTTTCCATTTGTTTTGGGTCTAAATAGTAGTTGGAGAGAATGGAGTTAAGCTTCCAGCACTGTACTTGCATAAAACTCATACATTTGTTTTCTTGAACACAGGAATTTGTTAAAAATAATAACTGGATTAAAGTAAGCCCATTCAAGACTTTTCTGTTCTTTTCTAAGAGGGAGATACAGCACATTCTCAGCAGTTCTCCACAACCTTGATAGTTCAACAATAAGTATCTAATGACCATCTGAAAGACAGTAATTTAAAAGCTATTTTAGGCTATGTGATCTGTCAGAACCAGTAGTAGAGTTTGGGCAGTCCAAGGACATTTGTCTATCTCTGTATTTGGAAAGCTGTTTTGTATATGCTTACACAAGCACAGTGTGAAAAGAGCCAACACAACATGTACAGGCCACAGAGTGTTTTTCCTTTGTATACTGCAATTCTACTTCAGCAAATCGAGTTGGCTAGGACTTTGCTCAGAACTGCAAGGCACTGACTTGTCTGACCCAGCTCAACAAGCCACTTAAGCATGTGCTTGTTTTCTAGACCTAAGTGAAGTTGCTTTGGAGAAAAATGGTGTTTACATGCTTTGTTTCATGAGAAACTCGCACGCGTGATAGAAAATGTACATGTAATTTGACCTCCAATATTTATCAATTACTCAGCACCAGGTAGTTACAAGTGAGATGGACCAAGCAGATTAATCCCTACACTCCTAATTTTCAGTGTGCTCTCAGCAGTTAATTGACATCATGTCAATGTGAATGGTGAAAGATTAAAACAAACAAACAAACAAACAAACAAACAAAAATCAATGAAAAAAACCCAACTTAAATATGTATTTAAGATGCAATTACTCTAAACCAAATTGCACTAGGTATTAAGCTTGCTTGATGTCTGTCAACTTCTAGTTAGAATTAGTGAAGTGAGGAAATCACCACTTATATGACGATTTCCTGAAAACAATAGTTTTTTAACCATACAGGGTTTTGTATCTTGTTCCCATTTTAGTGATTGTCACCTACTTCCAGGTCTCAGCTAACATTTGTTCCCCACTAGCAGACCAATCCCAATTATTATGTCCTGACCCAATATCAGTCCTTACCCTCAAACTCCAAAACCCCTTTATACCTGAGGCAGGGATGCTATACCAAACATAGGCCTGCTTCTACATTCAATCCATTTCCCTGATCCTCTTCCACTAAAGCCAATATCAAAGGAGTCTACAACCTTCCCTCAGTTTCCCCTTTCTTATAGTTTGCAGTCTGCTCCTCAGTTTTCACACTCAGCATAGCCTTAGCTGCCATTTTTTTATGCACTGAGACATAATTCCATGTCTCTATTTTAATAGAAAAGCTAGTGAGTATTAAAAATGCAGTATCAACAATTGAACTAATCACTACACAGATGGAAAAGATTTCACATTTTCTCAGTAGCACTATTAATTTTTGTTTTCTCAGTCAAGCTGTGATAAAACATATAATGTATAAAGACAGGTGACAATGGCTGCATCTCTATAGTGTACTTTGCTTTAAAAGATAAATTGTGTTGAAAGCTAATGACAAAGAATATCTTTTAAAATAGCCAACAGAAGATTGTCACAGTTCCTGTAGTGGCATTTGAGAATGGTGGGCTGTAGCGGGTTGACCCTGGCCAGATGCCAAGTACCCACTAAAGCCACTCTCTCTCTGCAACTGGACAGAGGAGAGAGAAAAAAAAAACAGCTAAGGATTCATGAGTTGAGATAACAGTTGAGAGAGGTCAGTTACTGACTACCTTCATGGGCAAAACAGACTCAAAATGGGGATAGTACTTAAATTTATTACTAAGAGGATAAGAGCCAAAGAGTGAGAAATAAAACAATCGTAAAAACTCCTTCCCCCCATCCCTCTTCCTTCCATGTTCTCCCTCCTCCCCCCCCCAGTGGTGCAGGAGGATGGGGAATGGGGATTGCAGTCAGTTGTTGTTTCTGCCACTGCTCAGAGAGAGGAGTCCTTCCCCTGCTCCCATGGGGTCCCTCTCACGAGAGACAGTTCTTGATGGACCTCTCCAGCGTGAGTCCATCCCACAGGCAACAGTTCTTCCCAAACTGCTGTCCCATGGGTCACTCCTTCATGGGGTGCAGTGCTTCATGATTGAGCTGTACCAGCGTGGGTCCCCCATAGGGGCCATAAGTCCTATTCAGGAAAAACCTGCTCCAGTGTGGGTTTCCCTCTCCACAGGCCACAGGTCTCCTGCAGGACCCCGCTCCATCCTGGGCCTTCCACGAGGTCACAGCCTCCTTCATGCATCCACCTGCTCCAGTATGGGTTCCTCCATGGGCTGCAGGTGGGTCTCTGCATCCCGATGGTCTTCCATGGGCTGCAGGGGCACAGCTGCTCCACCAAGTTCTGCACCACGGGTTGCAGGGGCCACAGCTCCAGCATCTGGAGCACCTCCTGCTCCTTGTTCTGCACTGACCTCGGTGTCTACCTTGGTGTTCCCATGTTCTCACTCTGCTCTTCCTGGCTGGAACTCTTTCTGCTCATTACATTTCTGTTCTTAAATATGTTATCACAGAGGCATTACTATTACTCCTGATTAGCTTGGCCTTGGCCAGCAGCAGGAAGCCTGTCCTCGAGCTGGCTGGCATTGGCTCTGCCAGATAGAGGAAGCTTCTGGCAGCTTCTAACAGAAGCCATCCCTGTAGCAACCCCCCTCCACTCCCCGGCTACCAAAATCCAGCCACAGAAACCCACTACATGGGCTAATTCTAGCTTTTCAAAATTCAGCACTCTGCAAAATTCCTCATACTTGTACACCTGCAGAAGGTGGGAAGAATAAAAACCTAAACTTTATACTGAGGACAACGAAGCCAAAAAAATGTGATCCCGCAGCAAAACCTCTAATTTTTGTTTCTCCAAAGAGAAATCCTGAAACTTTCTAGAAAACTTCTTTTCTGGCCATAAGTTGCACATATTTTCTTCATCTAAAACTCAAAGTCAGAAAATCAGAAGAAAAAGTTAAATCAGATGTCTCAAGGTAGTCTCAGTTGTAGAGCCATTACTGTGATTTGTAATGGAACAAAAAACAAAGAGGCATTTGAAGTCAACCGATACACACTTGCATGTGGGTGGGTTTGATCCATGCGTGCCTATTTATATTAGGAAATTAAGTATATATAAATATATAAATAAAACATATATATAGTACAGTCACATTCACATAAGCCATAAAATTACATATATTATATATAAATATATAAATAAAACATATATATAGTACAGTCACATTCACATAAGCCATAAAATTACATATATTTACAAAAATATTTGCAGCTTTGTTTTATACATTCAGGTCCACATTAGGAATTTAGTTATTTAGCTTCTGCCTTGTGAACTTGATCACCTTCCCAAGTAAGACTCTGGGATGAACTTGTACCTTATATATTCCCAATTGTCAAAAATAAGAATGAGGAAAAGAATCTTCCAAGGAATTCTGCCAAGTTCATAAGAAAAGTTGAAACTTGTCTCACTGAAGAGTAAATTACCTGTTAGCAAAAATTAAGAGACCTTTTCTTCATGTAGAAAGACAGTGCCTTGGCCTGGACCATAAATAAATTTGAAACTCAAAGAACATCAGGCAGGGCCCAAACTGGGTGCCTGGTGGCTGTCTGTTGTATAAACTCATGTATAATTACTATTCTATTTGTCTCAGTTTAAACTGGTACAGTGATGAAAGTGAATGGATGAAGATACGAAAATGCATATATCAGGTCACCTTAGAGGGTAAAAAGGCAGAGCAGACTACATCCTGTTGGTATTGGTTTAGCTTCATTTAAAGGTAAGTCATATGGTTAAAGCAATCCCAAGGATCTCACATTTATATGGGACATATTACACAGTTCTGTGATTTCCGGGAACTGGACATCCATAATTTTCTTCTCCAAAGACTGAAAAACATTTCTTCACTGCTTCATTAGTCTTCTTAGATATGCAGCCCAGATGATTCAGGCATGCATTTTTAACTTGGGGCATTTGCTTTTTTGGAATGAAATGAGTTTTGCAAGAGAAATCGAAAGTTTGGAGAAGGTTGTTTTTCTTCTGAAGAACACTTGCAAAAAACAAACCTTAAGATACAGCAGATTAAAGTCCCTGTACATGAAGACCCATGGAGAAAAATTTTGCCATGAACCATTGATCATATTGCACTTTCAGTGATTAGCTGTGGAGTCATCTCTTGCTCCTCACCATTCTCTGTGGACACATTCAGGATCTCCTGTTGCTGATAAATATCTTGGACCAACATGATGTTTGTGCTCCTCCATTCTCTGTACTTCAGTGCTGTCAACTTCGGGTCCTCTAGCAACTGGTTAATTGTGGCCAAGTCATGTTCCTTACACTAGGAAGAAAACAAGTGGTTATTTCCCACAGAAACTGTCAAGCTCATTGTCCATAACAAAAACAGTCTGGGAACATTAAAGAACCATGTCACAAAGAGATGGCAAATTATCCATCCTCCTGGAAGCTTGTTCTCATTTTTAAGAGCATAGGTCATCAAAGTTAAGTCTGCTGGAAAAAATCCATCCCAGTTGAAAGCAAGTTATGATTTCATCTAGATTTTTTTTATAGGATTCTTAGTAAAACTTCACAAGGGAAGATTCATGTGAAAATTACACATTGTTATGCTGTCTCACAAGTTAGTACTCGCTAAAACTAGACACGACAACATTTATTTCTATAAGTCAAACCAATTCTCACTTTCTCAAAAAATACTTACTCCATAGCCACATTATAAATGTCTCTTCTCTGGGAGCTAGACTGAATATAATTTTGGATATGATTTGTGCACTGGAGTAGAGTGGCTAGAGCACATGTGGCTGCCATCTCCCACCAGCTAATAAATCTACCACCAGTAATAAATCTGGTGTGTACTTTTAGGCAAGAACAGCTCAGACCATATATTGCAGGCACCCTGGTTCTCTTGCAAGACATAAGCAGTCACTGATATAGGGATACTGAGACACTGTATGTCACAGAATTACAAAATGGTTGAGCTTGGAATGAACCTCTGGAACTCATTTTGTCTAACACTTTTCCTCAAGCAGCACCACCTACAGCAGGCTGCCTAAGACCGTGTCCAGATGACTTTTGAATACATCCAAAGCTGGAGACTCAACAGCCTCTCTGGACAGCCTGTGTCAGTGCTTGGTCAGCCTCACAGAAAAAAGGGTTTCTTGATACCCAGAGGAAACCTCCTGTGCTTCAGTTTGAACCCATCATTTCTGGTACTGTCACTGGGCACCACTGACAATAGCCTGGCTATGTCTTCATTACACCCCCTTTTCACGTATTGATGTTCATTGGTGTCATCACATGCTGTGACGTTATGAACCACTTTGCTTTTCCAGCCCTTTTAGCCTATCCATGCCGGACAGAGAAGCCCACAGGATAAAGAAACCCTAGTTAGCAGCTATAATTTCTTCATGAAGGCACCATGCTGCAATAACAAACCTTAACTGCTTTTTCCTGGCTCCATCCCTCCAATCTGTATGTGAAAGCAATGGAATAGTTCTAACCATCTTCTGCTGCCACCAGTTCATCACACGTGAGGGCACTCTGTGCTGGTGGCTGCCTTGAAAACAACCTGAAAATACTCCCACACATTTATTTCACTTCCTGGTAATAGAAATCAGCTGTTTATACATCCATATTGCACTATTGCTGTCATGAACTTTCAACTGCTCTAATCTCTGTGATGGTTTAGCTGCTTTTTAAACACAAAAGCTTGTTCAGCTGTTCAGTGCCAGCCCTTGTAAGAGGACTGCTGGCATTGATGCAGAGGAATGCGCAGTTAGCCTAAGAGAAAAAGAGTGGAGATAAGGAAGGAGGAGGGAGAGAAGAGTATTTCCACTGGACAAACTTGGTGGCAATAAGTCATGCCATGGAATTTTTCCTGTAGCACTAAATCTATTTCCCACATTCACTATGACTGTGATGCATTTGCACATAGCTTCCCTCTCTTCCAAAGTATCCAAAGCATGTTTTGTTAGTGATATATTGTGGCAGCAACATTAATCTGTTGTTAAAGATGTGGAGTCAAAGGTCAAAAATTAAAATTGCAGTGAAACTTGCATAAGTCACTTTTCAAACTAATAGGGTTTTAATTTAAGCAGAGTACATATGGAAAAGAAGCAAAAAAAATCCTGATTTTAAATTTCCAGTGATCATTTCCAATTATCTTATGTCTCTACTATATGTTAAAAAAATAGACTTTAAAAGCACATAATTCCACTGATGTAAAGAATATGGCACTTTCCCACAGCAGGCATTTGCCTTTCAGACAGGCTAACTTACACACTACTGTGTACAGAACTCTGTTCGTGTCTATGCTACATTTTTCTGGTCAATACTCCAGTTTCTTAGTTTGAAGAAAGCAAAAAAAAAAAATCAACACATTTTATAGATTATGACCACTTCAAAAAGGATTTTTCCATATTAAACACAAGTGTTAGACAAGACTCACTTTATAAGTACTATTAATCACAACTTATACATACTCCCATGCTAAATCAATGCACGGTTGTCCTCCCTGCTCATGTCTGGCAGTAAGGCTTCCATTTAACTCCGTGCTGATGAAAGTGATTGTCTCACAAAATACAACTCCATTTTTTACTAACTGGTTCTTAGATTTATTAGTGAAGCTCCCATCAGGGAAAATTTTGCAGAATGTTTCTGTATTTAGCTTCCTATGATATAAAATTTTTTAACTCTCTGTTATGTGATGGGCTCACTTCATTTCTGATGCAAATGAATACTGCTGTAGTCACTGCCATACCACTGAAGACTCTCTGATACTGAGGAGAGACTTCATCAGGTCTCATATGGAACCAGGGACAATGCCTAAATTCCCAATTGCCTTTTTCAGTTGTGTCTTTCAGAAATTTCAACACAAGCAGAGGTGCCAAAGCCAAGCCTCCCATTGCAAGTACTAGTGAAATCAATGATTGTGCTGCTAGGATAAGTTTTTAGAATCACAGAATCATAGGACCATTAACGTTGGAAAAGACCTCTAAGATCATCAAGACCAACAATTTTATGTGCATTTCTCCAGCTTACAATGCTTGAAGTCAAATACATGCATGTGAAACACAATACTCAATTCCTGCTTCTAATGCATACAAAAAGAAACAAGTAAAGCATTGGGTTTGCATTCATTCTTTCCTCTCCTTACCATATAAATGCTATGGTTAAGATTTCTGTTTCCCTCAGTACCATTCAGAAGCAGGCTTTGAAATCCCGTGACGCTTGATGCTGGCGAGTAAACAGCATCATAAATCCCCATATTCCAGACAGATTTACTAGCCCTTTTATGGAACGTCTCCTGAACCCCTACACCCCTCCAGTTTGAGATATATTTCCAAATTAAAAGCAGGATGCTTTTGTTATGAAAAATATTTTAGTTACAGGAGGTCCTTTACAATAACTTTGGCACATCCTGTACATTCTCTAATAATCACATAAGGAAAACTTTTTTTGGCTCAGGTCATTTTCATGTCCTTTATCATCAACATACTTTGTCTGCTTTTCCTTTTTTAAGGCTCCCCTGTTTAGTTTGTTCAGCTGAGCTTTCAAGTTTTCCAGCTAGCTAAGAGAAGCTTTCTCTATTAAATTTTCCAAATAGGCTGGAAATTCTGCAAGAAGAGTCCCTTCTGAACTATTGCCTCTGCTTCCAGTTCAAATTGAACAACAAAACACAGATCAGTAATCAAAATGAAGCAGAAAAAAAAAATCAAACCTCAAATTCTCTGGGGCTTCCAGTAAATATGTAATTAGAGTTTGGCTGAAGTCTATGCAGCTTCTTTTTTCAGCCAAACTGTTTCTTTCTCTTAAGCTTTTCCTTGACCAGCTCTGCAAACTCACCTTTAATGTGCTGTTCAGCATTCGAATTTTGTGGAGTTTCTCATTAATGGAGGGGTTTTTGCTGCGTTTGATAAATGACTTCCTAAGTTCCTTCTTCGTTGACAGGCGACGATCACCAATGGGAGACAGGCTTGCTTGCTCTAATGACTTGTAAAGTCTCTCCATCTCATCATCATCATATTTTTCCTGGTCTGCAAAGAAAATAATAAATTGGGTATGAGAACATGAGTGCAGCAGCAGATAGCAGAAATGTTGTATTCAGCCACCAGGAAGGCTCCTAGCCAAGTCAAAAAGTAATGGCACCAGAGTTAAAACCAAGGGCAATTTTAGGGTAATTTCTAGGGTAATAATGCATATCAGAAAGACATACTTCCAAACTCAAATGTTTTTAAGAATCAGGTAATGATCCAAACAGATATGAGCCTGTATCTCCACTAATAGAGCGCTGCTTTAATGCTCTGAATATATCACAGACTTTGTACAACTGCCAGTAATTCTGCGTTTGAATGAAACCAATTTTGATAGCATCTACACCCATTTGCCCCTCCCTACATGTTACAGACAGTGCATCACATTTCTGCCTAGTGACTCACAAGCCAAATTCTATTTGGTGTGACAATTCATCGCCAGGTTTTGGTAATTACTGAAAACAGAGTTTAAAAAAAATTGAGCGATTAAATGAAACATAGGAACATTTCAGGGGCCCCAAGAGAAGGTCCTTAGGAAACAAATTAAAGCAAGAATGCTTAAGGCATTTAATGCTTAGCCCCTGAGTTTCACAGAATGCAGCAGAGAATTTGCTTGTAGTGCCTCACAACAAAACCTTGATTATCTCCACCTCAATTATTCTGATGGCTCCCAAGCTGCAGGACCATCTTCCATGACAGTGAGGACACGAAAGGAAAAGCAAGTAAAGAGCTGAGAATAAAATAAGCATAAAGTAAGATGAAAATTGAAGTAAAGACATTTCTCAGAATAAGACAACTTAAAAATGAACAGACAGAGGCCAAAAATGTACCAGGCATATGTAGGGGCATTTTAGTAGAAGGCCATTTTCAGCAACAGACTGCGCAACTCACTTCTTGTCCTTCAGTCCACACTGCAAGCTTTTCTACTTCAGTGATTGCTAAAGGAAATCTTAAAGTTATCACTGTTTTCAGGGTGCTAATGAATCCATCAAAATCCACTGGAATAACGTGCATTTTTATTTCACTGAGGGTAGTAGTGCTAGTTCTTCCCAACTGCACTTCTCCACATGCCCATTGAACTGGCTGGGCACTTTTTTCTTTTAACGAAATGTTAAACATTTACTTTTCTAAATCATCTTCAGTCAGCAAATATTTTCTGAACAAAAGGAAGAAGTCTTTTTGCTCACTCATGCTGCAGCCAAAAAGACTTCTCTAACACATCAGCACACTTAGGAGGCTGCTTCTTATCTTTTCCATGTTTTATAAAGTACATCATCCTTCTACACCCCTATTCTTTCTAAACATTTAGGTTACAAAAAAGCTTTATGATAGGTTACAAATATTTGCCTTCACTGTGTTGCTGGCCTATTCTTCGCTACTGTGTGGTTATAAAAAGCCTACTGTAACTTGACAAGAACTAAATATAACTTCCAACACTATTACATTGCTGAGGGAGGAAAAGGAGAACTGTTGTATATTTAACAAGCTGCAGGAAACAAAAAAAAAATGGAAGTGTAAGGCATAATACACAGCAGTAGTATTTCCTGAAAACAGTCGGCTCATACCATGAGGCTCATAATTATAACTAGTTTCCTGCCTACTTTCTTGAGATGAAGAAGCTGTTTGTTTCCTTAGCCAGCTCCTGAACTCTACTGTAGACTGGCTGAACTCTACTGTAGACATCACCCATCAGGACTGTACACACTAACATTCTGAGAGATAAATTGACCTTTATCAGCTATCCAAGAAAAAGTGTATAAGAGGAAAAAAAAATTGCTTCAATCCTGTCCAGCAACTTCTAAATACAGTCAATCCATGGGGGACATAAGGTTCCTTCTCCAGATACTTTTTGAGGTTAACTCACAACATTTCTCAGTGTCCTAAAAGGGTTACAAAGCAGCAAGCATGAGAAAACACCCTCAATGAGCACTCTTCTGCCATGCTAAGTACTCTGATATCTTTATACGCTTGTGGGTGACTGTAAGGAGGACAGCAACACTAAGCACAGAAAAAAAAATGGATCCAAAATCAGAAAAGCCCAGCAAAAGGCTCCCAGATGATGCACTTGACCAGCAATGTGCACTCATCTCCTGCAGTCTTTCAACACTTTGAACTTAAACTCCTCTCTTATTTCTTATTCTTCCACGATTCTCATCCCCCAAAGGATTAACTAGAATAATATAATTTCAGAAGGAAAGGAATGTACCAGATTCTTCAGATCAGGTAGATAAAAGGAAGTGACAGTAAAGCAACTACACGGAATTTCAGCAAACTGTTGCACAATGAGGGTGAGTGAAACCTAGAGGGTGTGCAGAACCAGGTATGAGTTATACAGTACTTTTGTCTCCATCTTTGATGAACTTCAATCACAGTTAAAAAGCAACAAATGATTACTTTAATATTGTGCTTTTGCATAGAAGCAGATACTGTTGCTGTTGACAGAGTATGTCTGCCAATAAATGTCTATAAGTTGAGGCTAGACTGTCTGCTACCTATCTGAAATTTTACCTTCAGTGTTCCGAGTTCCCCTGAGCCAAGCTCAGAAAGCAAAAGCCCACATTTTGCAGACTTGAAGCTGCCGCTGAATGCATTAGATTGATGCTGTAAATCTGAGAGGGGGAGAGGTAATGGAGGAAGGGCAAAGGCTTTATGTTTAGTGTTCAGTCAACAAACCCAATAAAATTATTTGTGATAAGAAAATATATTTCTTCTCACTCACACAATGGTGTGTTACAGTATTTCACAAGCCTCTTAACACCACAAAAGTAAACTAAGAAAGCACTGCCTGTAGTTTGCTTGCTTGCTTTTCCCATGAGAGAAAATTAATGTTGGATAACAGAAATAAAGCAACATGACTCAGGGATTAAGCACAGACTGGAGTTTTTCTCTAGATTCAAGTATTCCCTGCATATTTGCCCAGAACTTGGTATTGCTTGCACCTGGAGTCAGAGCACTGACCTGCGGAGGAGCAAGTCTCTAACAGAGGCACAGGCATTCACCAATTATGTATTTTTAGGCTGCAGTGACTTGGATTCTTCCTATGAAAGAAACTGTCTAGACCATACTACTGGATTGTTACAAAATATTTGCTTTCCATCAGAAATTAAAAATATATGCAAAAAACACACAGTGATACAAGGTCACAGCCCTGGTGTAAAAATGAACAGATTGTCTGTGTCAGCCTAACAAAGACAAATGTACCACCCCTACTCTGAGGGTTTTTTAACTTCTGAAGGTTTATAATGATGGATCTATTCCACTGGCAAAAAAACCTTAATATTATGGACAGGTTGGGCCCCACTAGTATTGCTCTGGAATGCTCTTTTCAGCCAGGTCACGCAGCTAACAACAGACACTTTAAAATAACTTCAGAATAAAATAATGCAAGTTATCTCTCCCACCAGCCACTCTTCAAGCTAAGCACTTTCTGTCTCAGTCATGCAAGTTAGGAAACTGAAATGCTACTACAGCACTTCTTTATCTCATCCTATTTTAAAGATAAAATACATTCATTTTTCTCTCAGGACTGACCGAAGGATTAGTGGTGAGGAACAAATGTCCACATTGGAAGAATATTATGTATTGTGAGTGCTTATGAATGTGTACATGCAATCGGGGGAACACACAAACTGTGGACTTTTCCCTTGCCTTGGGCAGTACTAACTATAAGTAATTCTGTTGACCAATGCCACTGGAAGGATCTATCTTCCTGGGATCCTGCACCATGCCCTTCACTCAAGCCTCACAGCCCGCTAAATCTTCAGAGCACTTCTGGAAAAAAATCTGCAGAACTGTGTATCTCTTTTAGCTTTGTCAGATTCCACAACAAGGAAAGTGGAAAAGAAAACCTGTCAACAATAAAACAGGTTGTCCTCAGGATAACTGGGCTCCTGAGCTGGTAGGCAGGGACAGGGATCAGAATAGCACCCTTGTAATCCAGGAGGAAACAGTTAGCGGCCTGCTGAGCCACTTAGACGCCCACAAGTCTATGGAATCAGATGGGATCCATCCTAGAGTGATGAGGGAGCTGGCAGAAGAGCTCACCAAGCCGCTCTCCATCATTTACCAACAGTCCAGGCTCACTGGGGAGGTTCCAGATGATTGGAAGTTGGCCAATGTGACACTCATCCATAATAAGGGCCAGAAGGAAGATCTGGAAAACTACAGACCTGTCAACCTGACCTCAGTGCCTGGAAAGGTTATGGAGCAGATCATCTTGAGTGTGATCACACAGCACCTATGGGACAGCCAGGGGATCAGAGCCAGCCAGCATGGATTTAGGAGGGGCAGGTCCTGCCTGACCAACCTGATCACCTTCTACCACCAGAGGACCCCCTTGCTGGATGAGGGAAAGGTTGTGGATGTAGTTTGCCTGAACTTCAGCAAAGCCTTTGATATCATCTCCCATAGCATACTCCTGAAAAAGCTGCCCATGGCTTGGACAGGGGCACTCTCTGCTGGTTAAGGACTGGCTGATGGCCGGGCCCAGAGAGTGGTGGTGAACGGTGCTGCATCCAGTTGGCAGCCGGTCACTAGTGGTGTCCCCCAGGGATCAGTGTTGGGCCTAGTCCTGCGTAATATCTTTACTGATGATCTGGATGAAGGCATCAAGTCCACCCTTAGTAAATGGGTGGACTTAGTAAATTGGGGGGGAGTGTTGATCTGCTGGAAGGTGGGAGCACTCTGCTGAGGGACCTGGACAGGCTGGATAGATGGGTCGAATCCAGTGGGATGGGGTTCAACAAGGCCAAGTGCCGGGTCCTGCACTTTGGCCACAACAACCCCCTGCAGTGCTACGGGCTGGGGACAGAGTGGCTGGAGAGCAGCCAGGCAGAAAGGGACCTGGGAGTTTGGATTGAAAGGAAGCTGAACATGAGCCAGCAGTGTGGCCAAGAAGGCCAGTGGCATCCTGGCTTGTATCAGGAATAGTATGGCCAGGAGGACCAGGGAAGCGATTATTCCCTTGAACTCAGCACTGGTGAGGCTGCACCACGAGTACTGTG